CTTGAGGGAAGAGGCGGAAATGGTGGAAGGGGGGAAGGCGAGGTCGGCCACCTCCAGCTCTGGGTCCAGGACCTGCCCAGGAAGGACACTCAGCTCAGGCCCCATCCTGGCTGGAGAAGCCAAAGAGATTTCCCCAGAGACCCCACAGCCCCCATGGAAAAGGTCTGAGGGGCTTGGAGACAGCCCATGGGGGATCAGGAATGCTCTGTCAGGCCTGACCCTGCCTTGGGGAGCACAGCTGGCACTGGGATCCCAGGGAAAGGGAGCCCCTCCTGCTCTGCCAGGGAAACCTTCACCCCCCTGTGCCCCAGGAGGAGCAGGAGCTGCTCCAGCAGTGCCTCAGGAACACAGGAGCAGCCAGGCCACAGCTGCTTCCTGCCCCGGGCCGGGAGCCAGCACCATTCCCAGAAACCTCTGCCAAAGGAACCCCCCCAGCACCACAGGACATCAGAGGGCACGGGATTGGGAATGGCCACTGTGAGAGGGGCAGCAGCACCCCAGGGCAGGAGTCGAGGCTCACAGAGTAACCCCTGCCGCTCCACTCCCAGCCCCCATGGAAATCTGTGTCATTCCCAGGGTGCTGGCCAGAGGCCATTGGATCAGGAATGGTCCCTGTGACAGGACCCCAAGGAGCAGATGGGACCCCAAGGAGTGGTCAGGACCCCAAGGTGTGGGTAGGATCATAAGGAGAGGACAGCACCCCGAGGAGTGGACAGGACCCCAAGGTGTGGAAAGGATCACAAGGAGTGGNCAGGACCCCAAGGTGTGGGTAGGATCATAAGGAGAGGACAGCACCCCGAGGAGTGGACAGGACCCCAAGGTGTGGAAAGGATCACAAGGAGTGGTCAGGACCCCAAGGTGTGGAAAGGATCACAAGGAGTGGTCAGGACCCCAAGGCATGGACAGGCCCCCAAGGTGTGGACAGGACCCCAAGGTGCGGACAGGACCCTGAGGAGTGGTCAGGACCCCGAGGCATGGACAGGACCCTGAGGTGTGGACAGGCCCCCAAGGTGTGGACAGGACCCCAAGGAATGGACAGGACCCCGAGGCATGGACAGGACCCCAAGGTGTGGACAGGACCCCAAGGTGTGGTCAGGACCCCAAGGTAGCTATCACAGAGGAGCCCTGGCTGCACTGGCTGCCAGGACAGGTGTGTCATTCCCAGGGGACGGCGCTGGCACCCCGGGAACGCCTGGCACTCACCATGGACAGGGCTTCCCGCGTCTGCTGCAGCAGGGGCTCGGGGAGCAGCGAGATGTGCACGCACTCCGGCACGTTCACGGTGCCGCCGTCCAGGTCCGCGATCACCACGTCCAGCTGGCAGCGGGGACAGCAGTGGGACACAGCCCCGCTCCCCCATCCCACATCCCAATGCCACAGGTGATGGGCAGCTGTGCAGGTGAGCTGGCTCAGGAAAGGGCTGGCAGTGGGCTCTGGCTCCTCCCCACCTCAGCACTCAGCGCTGGGACAGTGGGAGGTGGCCCTGCCTTGTGTGGAGTGGGAATTCTCAGCACTGCCTGTGTCCCAGCCTGTCCCCAAATTCAAGGACACACTGGGATTCCTTGCTGGGGGGGACGGGGGACACGTGGCAGAAGAGGGACCCAGCCATTCCCAAGGGACCCAGCCATTCCCACTGGCCCCAGCCATTCCCACTGGCCCCAGCCATTCCCACTGGCCCCAGCCATTCCCAATGGACCCAGCCATTCCCAAGGGACCCAGCCATTCCCAAGGGACCCAGCCATTCCCACTGGACCCAGCTATTCCCAAGGGACCCAGCCATTCCCACTGGACCCAGCCGACCCCCTGGCTCCTGTGGGACTCCTGGATACATCCCAAGCTGAGCACACAGAGCCCGTGGCCCTGGGCACCCTCGGCATGGACTGAGCTGTCACCCAAGCCTGTGACAGCCACACTGCTCGTCCCCAGCCCCCTGGCACCAGGACAAGGGATGTGGGCTCTCACCAGCTCCTGGGTCTCCGACTGGAAGATGGAGTGGACGCCGATGATGAAGGGGGTGGGGGTGCTCAGCACCTCCAGGAGCTGGGCGGGCAGGATGGGCACGTAGGTGAAACTGCAACCAGAAACAGCCTCAAAGCCAGCCCCAAACACGGCCCCACTGCAGCCATGCCAGCCCTGCCCCATGTCCCAGCCCCGTCCTGGCACAGCCAGACACGATCCCGGCTCTGGAGCCCCTGGCACCCCCAGCCCCTCAGGCACCACGGCCACACACAGCTCCCAAAGGCTGTGGCTGCCCCATCCCTGCGAGGGACAGGGACAAGGCTGCAGGGACAGGACACAGGGAATGGCAGCCATGGATGGGAGATTGGGAATGAGGAATTCCTGGCTGGGCTGGGATTGCCAGAGCAGCTGGGGCTGCCCCTGGATCCCTGGCAGTGCCCAGGGCCGGGTTGGACACTGGGGCTGGAGCAGCCTGGGGCAGTGGGAGGTGTCCCTGCCCTGGCAGGGGTGGCACTGGAGGGGCTCTGGGGTACCTTCCAATCCAAATTATCCTGGGATTTCATGATTCCATTATATGATCCCTGTCTGGTCTGGGGGTTGTAATCAAAGTCTGACCAAGGAAAAAGGGTTTCCAGCAGAGCCATTAACTCCAGAAGAATTTCAGGAAAAAGTCTCCACAGAAATGGGGTCAGGCCTTGGCAGGGGCTGCCCAGGGAGGTTTGGAGTCTCCATCCCTGGAGGTGTCCAAGGAACTCCTGGAGGTGGCACTCAGGGCTCTGGGCTGGGGACAAGGAGGGGATCAGGAACAGCTTGGATTTGGTGACCCTGGAGGACTTTTCCAAGCTCATTGATTCCATAATTCTGTGAAAAAAAAGGTTCTTCTCGGGGGAAAAAAAAAAAAAAAAGCCTCTCTGCAGCCATTCCCTGGGTCCTGTCCCTGCTCACCAGGAAAGACAGAACATCTCCCACCACTGCCTCCAGTGCCAGAGCCCCTTTTGCCTGGGAGAAGAGGGAGGCAGGGCTGGGAGACTCCCAGTTATTCCCCAGACCTTGGGAGGCACCGAGGGTGGGGCAGGGGCACAGCTGGCACAGCTGGAGGCTCGGGGACCCTCACCTGTACTTGAGGGGGAACATGAGAGCCAGGAGGGCCCGGCAGGCGTCTGTCAGCCTCTGGTAGCTGCTGGAGAGGAACAGGATCTTGTGCTCGGTCAGCGCCGCGCAGAACAGGAACAGCACGTTGGTGATGCCTGGGCAGGGCACAGCGGGGGCTCAGCAATCGGGGGGGTCCCTCTGACACCCCTCAGAGACCCCTGACCCCACCCAGGCTGCAGCCCACTCCCCAGCCCTGCATCCTGCCAGGAGAGGAGTCACTGGTGGTTCTGGTCACTGCCAGGCGTGCTTCCCCCCTTCCCTGTTCCTCCTGGGGGCTGGTGGCCTTCCCTGGGGGGCACGGGGTGGCCTTCCCTGGGGGACACAAGGCTAGTGGCACCCCCGGGCTGCTCCTCCAGACCCCAGCCCCAATCCCACCCTCCTGGAAAAGCGTGGCACAGCAGGGCCGGGGAGGCTCAGCCAGGCCAGAGCTCGGAGCCGAGGTGACCCACAGGGACCCCAGGTGCCATGGGGCAGGGTGGGGACACGTCTCACCCAGCTGGCGGAAGAGCAGGGCCACGCTGCAGCTGCTGACGGGCAGCGAGTCGTTGATGGGGGTCTGGATCACCTGCCTGTCCCCTGCTCCCAGCGAGATGGTCCTCTGCAAGGCAACACACACCTGCTCACCAGGGCCACCCAGAGAGGGACCGGGACAGGGCAGGGGCAGCCAGACCATCCCCGGGCATGGGGCCAGGGCAGCCAGACCATCCCCAGGCATGGGGCCAGGGCAGCCAGACCATCCCCGGGCTCGGGGCCAGGGCAGCCAGACCATCCCCAGGCATGGGGCCAGGGCAGCCAGACCCCCAAGGCACAGGGCCACCGTGCCCCAGCACAACCCCCGTCTGGAAAGGGAAAGAGAAAGGGAAAGAGGAAAAGGGAAAGAGAGAAGAAGATGCTGCCATGGCACCCGCTGGGTGCTTGACTGGGTCCCTGGGCTGAGGGGAAGGAGGGCACCTCCTGCAACATCCCCAGCCAGCACCAGCAATGTCCCAGCGGCCCCGAGATGTGCGTGCAGATGGGACACAATGGCTCTCTGGGACACGAGGGCTCCCCAGGATTTGAGGGAATGTGAGGTCTTTCTAGGATTCAAAAGTTCTCCAGGATAAGAGGGCTCCCCAGGATTCAAAGGCTCCCCAAAATTTGAGGGGAATTCCAGCCTCTTGTGGGCCCTTGGAGCTCCCCTGTCCCAGCCTGGCTGTGCCCAGGAGCAGCCCCAGCTCCACAACCTCTCCAGTGGAAGGAATACCTGGAATAACATCCTGAGGAATATCCTGAGGAACATCCTGGGGGAAGGGATGGACACCCCAGGCACAGGATCGGTGCTTCTTCCCTGGTATCACTGAATATTCCCAGCCCTGAGCTCATTCCCAGGGACACTCAAACACCCCCAGGCTATCTCCAGGCCCTCCTCCTCCTCTTTGCACTCCTCTCCAGGAGAAACACTTCTGTGGGAGCAGCGTTCCCACTGCAGCCACATCCTGGCAGAAGAGCCCCAAAATCCACGGCTGGGCTGAGCCAGAGTCCTGAGCTGGGCTGTCACAACCCCAGGAGAGGCGTGCCTGGAATGCAGCCCCTTCCCAGAGCCCAGGGACACGTCCTGGCTGCCCCCAGGTGGGACACACACCCGAGGGTGCCCTGAGACCACCGGGACCTGGGGCTGGGTCCTCAGCCGGGCTGCTGAGGAGAGGACAGACCCAGAGCAGGGAGAGGAAAGGTGGGGAAAAGAAGACGGGAGAGAAAAGGAGTTCGTACCACGGCTTCGTCCTCCATGTCAGGCTGAGATGGGACAGACAGAGAGCACAGTCAGTTAGGACACACAGACAGGCACAGCGGGGACACCAGCAGGGACAACGGGACAGGAGCCCACAGACAGGCAGGGACACCAGCAGGGACAGTAGGACAGGAGCCCACAGACAGGGACACCAGCAGGGACAGGAGAGGAGCCCACAGACACAGGCAGGGACACCAGCAGGGACAGTGGGACAGGAGGCCAAAGACACAGACAGGGACACCAGCAGGGACAACGGGACAGGAGCCCACAGACAGACAGGGACACCAGCAGGGACAGTGGGACAGGAGGCCACAGACACAGACAGGGACACCAGCAGGGACAGTGGGACAGGAGGCCAAAGACACAGACAGGGACACCAGCAGGGACAACGGGACAGGAGCCCACAGACACGGACAGGGACACCAGCAGGGACAATGGGACAGGAGCCCACAGACACGGACAGGGACACCAGCAGGGACAACGGGACAGGAGCCCAAAGACAGGGACACCAGCAGGGACAACAGAACAGGACAGGAGCCCACAGACACAGACAGGGACACGAGCAGGGACAATGGGACAGGAGAGGAGCCCACAGACAGGCAGGGACACCAGCAGGGACAACGGGACAGGAGCCCACAGACACAGACAGGGACACCAGCAGGGACAACAGGACAGGAGCCCACAGACAGGGACACCAGCAGGGACAACAGGACAGGACAGGAGCCCACAGACACGGGGTGAAAGCAATGCCTATGGCACCGGGAAGGAGCGCTGGACACGGCAGGAGAGCAAGAAAACCACGGGAAGGGACGTGCCACCACCGAAGTGTCCCCCTCCCATCACAGAGTCCCTGTTCCCACGGCACAGAGCCGTCCTGCCCCAGCTTGGAGCACGGATCTGTGCCAAGCTCAGCGAGCCATGGTGGCAGGAGAAGCCGTCCTGCTCCGGCAGCTGCTCCTGGTCCCGCCGGGAGGAGCCGGATCCGGGCAGATCCCATGGGAAGGGAGCAAACCTGGGTGCCTGGCACAGCCCGGGGTGGGCAGCACCTGGCTCTGCCCCAGCACTGGGACAGGCCTGGCTCCATCCTTCCCCCACAAATCCCGGCAGCGCCGCCGCTTCTCCCGGGGCCCGCGTGGCTCCGGGTGCCAGAGGGAGCCCCAAACGTGCGGCAGCGCCTGCCCCAAATCCTGCTGGGGTATGGGAGCAGGGAGAGCCCCCCTTGGGGCACGGCATGGCAGGGAGGAAACCCCTGTGGAGGCACCGGGGCCTGTGCTGCTGTCCCAGTGCTCTACAGTGCTGATCCAGTGTCCCATGGTGCTGTCCCAGTGTCCTGTGCTGCTGTCCCAGTGTCCCATGGCACTGTCCCAGTGTCCTGTGCTGCTGTCCCAGTGTCCCGTGCTGCTGTCCCAGTGTCCCATGGCACTGTCCCAGTGTCCCATGGTGCTGATCCAGTGTCCCATGGCACTGTCCCAGTGTCCCATGGCACTGTCCCAGTGCCCTGTGCTGCTGTCCCAGTGTCCCGTGCTGCTGTCTCAGTGCTCTACAGTGATGATCCAGTGTCCCATGGTGCTGATCCAGTGTCCCATGGTGCTGTCCCAGTGTCCCATGGCACTGTCCCAGTGCCCTGTGCTGCTGTCTCAGTGCTCTACAGTGATGATCCAGTGCCCTGTGCTGCTGTCCCAG